ACAGGACACATGTCCTCAGTCTAACAGGACACATGTCCTCAGTCTAACAGGACACATGTCCTCAGTGTAACAGGACACATGTCCTCAGTGTAACAGGACACATGTCCTCAGTGTAACAGGACACATGTCCTCAGTCTAACAGGACATGTCCTCAGTGTAACAGGACACATGTCCTCAGTGTAACAGGACACATGTCCTCAACATGAGGACTACATGTGTTCACCAGGACTCTCTGTTCTACAGGGTGAATCCATGACTGAAACTCTGTGAACAGATTGATGAGAACTGCAGCTGTGGTTAATTACAATTCTGTATCAAGCAGTTTAATAACAGTCTGTGTTCATCTGRACCAGGTTGGAACAGCTGCCATATAAAACTGAAGACCTGGTCCAGAAGATTCTGAACATGGTTCCGTCAGAGCGAATCTCTGCTTCGGATGCTTTGCAACATCCATATTTCAGCACGCTTCCTGTGGCCGTAATGAACCTCCGAGACAGTAAGAACAACGTGCTGAAATGCTAACGTGCTACACACAGCTTATAACCGACCTGTTTGTTTAGATTTAACCAGAAGCTGCAGCAGAGCTTCATGATGCACAAACGTGTTGATCTGTCAGCCATCTTTAGTTTGAACCTGTCGTTTTGGCTTCAGTTATTTTAGGATTGTGGAAGCCAGCAGAGAGCAGCATCAAATATTTCAGTTATATGTACAACACTWTGCACCTGAGAGCTCAAAACTGGTTACATGAGAACAGTAACAACCTTTACCAACATAACTGTTCTTGTATTTAACAAAAACAGAGAAACATTGTCATTAAAAGTCAGTTCTTACAAACTGTTTTCTGTTTCTCAGCTGTGTCCATCTTTAAAATCCCTGGAGTTCATCTGGAGACAGAATTCAGAGATATCTTCAACCCAGGGCAGAGGCTGAAACGATCTTTACTTCATGCTGCAAAACACCGGTGATCCATCAACTTTAATCAGATCTAAATGAACCTGACAAGATGAGCTGAGGGATGAACTGATTGTGACTCCAGGTGTCAGCTGTGTCCTACAAGATATTCATGAAGAATAACTTCATGTCTGACCACAAGTGACTGAAGTCTGTCATTCATTCTGTTATTAAAATTAATTATTGAAAAGTGCATGTGTGAACAATCATCAGGCTGCAAGGAAATCACTGATCCCCCCCCCCCCTGGCCACTTTATTAGG